GAAGAACTACAGGAAGAAGTCAACTCAGTGCCATTAGAGCAAGAAGATGCACAGGACTTGCTGACTAACATAGTAAGTACTGATGGCAACCTTGCCTCCCTGCTAACACCTAGTGATCCAATATGCCCCTACCAGAACCTACCCTAAAAGATATTCTGTAAGCCTAATGCATGCAAGAGGACATTCTGCTTGTCCCTCAAAGCATACAGAATATTATTGAGAGAATGACAGCCATAGAAAGAAGGCTTAGCTCTGTGGAATATGCCTTCAACCCATTGCAACAAAAATGTACGTTTTAATACAAAAAGTTGCTCAGCTTGATTATAGAGTTGAACATCCAGCAGTAGTTGTTGCATGGCTAGATGAGCATGAACGTCATCTACGTGTCAAGACGTCTACTGGGCCAACCTTATTTTTACTCCACAGATCTTTTTTATTATGCGCAATGAATGAGATTTCCTGCTATAGAGGCTGGCTTTTATCTGTGACTTGATGTCATCCAGGTTTACATTATCTACCAACATCAAAGTTGCATCTCCTTTGACATTTTCTCTATAGAGTTCTCTCCAATCATCCTGCAAATGAAGGAGTCTTCAGAATTAGCTTTCTTAACCACATGATGTTAGGACTGGGTTACTGTATGCCCTGTTTCTATAGCCCGCTCATTTGTAGTATCACTATGGATACCTACCTGTCTTAGCTTGCAAAAACTCCTGTGTTTTTTTTTACCTGTTTTACTGTGATGAAACTGTGATAAAACTCCCGTACTCTCTTGTTATTACCATGTACCATGGCTGAATGTAGAACTATAATATCATGGAATGTTAGAGGTTTAGGCAATGCAACTAAGAAACAGGCCATGTTTCTTTGTCGGTGATACTGTAAAATATACCTCAACAGTGAAACCACTCATTATCCTAAAATACATCATTATCATCCACAATACCACTTGATGCATGCTTCATAACCCGGGGGGGGGGGGGGGGAGGTTGTTAACATTTCGATCTTTAATGGTGTGGGGTTTTCATGCAGTCATGCTAAAATGGACCCCTTGGTTAGAGTTATTTTCTTATATTGTGTCTTGAATAACTTAGGTTTTAGTTACTGTGTAAGTTCTTTTATATTCCCCATTGGTTCTTCATAAATTGCTAGTTTCTTTCAGGCAAACCACATTTTCTGGTTCTGGCATTTTCCAGGATAAATTTAACATGATTATGCTACCCTATGTAGGAGATGTACAGTATGTTGTTCTATTGCCAAGAAGCCTAGAAGTCCCTCTTTCTCTGAGGTGGAAAAACAAGATTTTTTAAATGAAAAAAAAATTTTTGAGGAAGGGGAAAATACAGGACGCTTATTGGTGGCCATTGCTAGATCACAACAGCTTCTAGCTCATGTCAATGCCTAAAGCATAGATAGGGGACGTATAGTGACTATTTGTTCTAAAATAACAGATGGTTTGGGGATTTTTTTTATATGGACCTTTATAGCAGTAACATCTCTTGTAAAGTTGAGGCAATATTTTTTTTTTCTTTTTCTCCCTACAATTTTTGCAGAGGACAGCACCGTTCTGGACTCTCCAATCACATTGTAGTAGTTATCTGCCACCCTAAGTGTGTCATCTAATATGAATGCCCCAGGGGCAGATGGCTTAATGACAGAAATGTAAAAAGATGTGGTACTGTCTTTCTTGCAGAGCTCTTTGCAGTCCTAAATGAGGCATCAGATCTCCACAGTTCATGAATAAAGCCATTATTGTTGTTCTAAAGCTTGGCAAAGATCTCCTACAGTCGCAATTGTGTCAACCAACATCTTTTCTCAGGACAGACATTAAGGCTTTTGCTAAAGTCCTTACCAATAGATTGTCTAATATTACTGGCACATTGGTACATCCAGATCAAGTTAGTTTTATACTTATGAGGTCTACCACCACTAACAATAATAGATTATCTCTCCATTTACAAATTCACCTACTAATGTAGGCAATTGGGCTATTATATTATCAGACATTGCCAATGATTTTATTAGCATGGAATGGGAGTACCTGTGTCAGACCCTGCTTAATGGCTTGCCACCCAAGGATGTCCCTGGATATCCTTGAGTTTCAGTGGTTATACTAGGGCCATGGACAGCTGCAGCCATGACCCTCAGTATCAGTGTTTTCATCCGGCAATGCTGAATAAGCTAAAAGCATTTTGATGGATTGCTTTTACAGGTGGTGGGAAGGGGCTACCTGACTTTCTGGGCTCTCCCATTCACATGGGGAGCCCCGGACTGAAGCCGCCTGACTATAGAGATGATTGAGAACTGGAATGTCCCTGAGCATCTCTATGGTCTAAGAAACTGGAAGCAAAGAGTATTGTGCCACTTCACGGTCTGAGGTGAACAAACAATTACTGTCCTTTGAAAGCATCAGATCTGGGTTTGATCAGTTGCTTTGAAGGGCAGAAGAAAGATCTGAGGTCTAGTAGACCCCAGATCTCTCAGTAAAGAGTACCTGTCACTGCCCATGCTGTCACAATGGATTTTGTTCATCCCTTGTGATAGCAATAAATTTGATTTAAAAAAATGAGACAGTGTAAAAAAGAGAAAAAAAATTTAATTAATAATTTTAAAAATATTAAAGCTATCCCATCCCCCCATACAAAGGTGAACACATATGTAGGTTGCACAAGTTATTCAAGACACAATATAAGAAAATAAATCTACCCAAAGGGTCCATCTTAGCATGCCTGCAGGAAAACTCCACACCCTTAGAGATCAAAACGTTAACCCCTATGAAGCATGCATCAAGTGGTATTGCCTCTGTCTCTTAGTAATATTACCTGCTTAAAAAATATATATAATGTTTGGGGGTTCTAAGTAACTTTCTTATGGCTTGGGAAATATTTTCAATTCAGCTAAATTAAGAAGGTCACCATCTTTAAGTATTTTGGAAATAATATTTCCACCATACTATCTGATTATATACCACTGAATGTAGAACCCCTTTTGACTAAACTAAAGGCTAACTGTAAGGTCTGGTGTCAATTGTCTTTTTCTGTTGTAGGAAGGGCAAATTTAGTGAAAATGCTCTGAATGCCCAAGTAATTATATGTTTGGCATAATGCCCCAATCTAAATCAGATGATTTTTAGATGGGTTAACTCCCTTTTCATGGATCTTATTTGAAAGGGAAAATGACCCAGAATTAAGCTTGAAACTATTCAACTCCCAAAAGGATGATGGGGGACTGGAGGTTTCCAATGCTAGACTTTATTTTGTGGCCTTCCAGTTCCTACAGGCTGCAGGATGAGGTGTATCAGATAAGAGATCAATCTCAGAGAATATTGTCTTCTATTCTACCTCAAGACCCTCTCATTTCCCTTTTTGGAAGAAGGTACTTTTTCAAAAGGGATCTCAATACCCTGCACTTACACACCTGCACAAAGTATGGCTTGCAATGAAAACTATTACTAAGCACATGAGATATACACAATTTATGCCACTTTGGAATAATCTGATCTTGTCAGAACTATCCAACTTGGAGAGATTTGGAAATTAGAGGAGGTCTGGCAAAACTTTACTTCATCAAATTTACCAGAATAACATCCTTAAAACATATCAGTCACTATCACTATCAGAGGAATATGGCCTTTCTAAACAATCCTTCTTTCAATACTTGCAATAGCATCATGCTCTTCAGCCACAATCCTGTATATCACCGATCATCTATATTTAAAACCCTTGAATGTACTGCACTCTTTACAACTACCCCTGGTCCCCAAAATAAGTTTATTGGACATTCTCTCCTTAGGTGCTGAATCTCTGCAACTAACGATCACTAGGTTACTATATTGCCCGGAAATTGATATCACAGAAACGGACCTCTTCTACACCCTAATTGTTCATGTAGAGCAGCCTTTCTCAACCAGAGTGCCCAAGCACCCTGGGGTGCCTTGAGGTTTCCTCAGGGGTGCCTTGGCAAAATGTCTACAAATTGCCCAAAACTTGTATAAAAGCCAGCAGGTGGATGAGGCCTGCCTTTTAGTTACACAAAGCCACAGGATTTCATTGTTACACCATTACAACCCTCTAGCTGCTGGCGTCCTGACAACCTGACAAAATAACATCATCAGTTGATAAGGATGATGTCAGCTGCATGCCCAGCATCCTATTTTGACCGCCTCCTGCCCCTCTTTATCAGTGCTGGGGTCACATAAGCTCAGTGATGGAAAAAAACTGAGGGAGAAGAGAAACATTGGCATACTAGTTAGTACCAGTGTGCAAAAGTGTATTTACTTTGGAAGAATAAATCACCTCTAATGTTGGGTGTCCTACATATATGGATGCTGCTGCATCCATATGCATTTTGGAATGGGGTGCCCTTTTAAAATTTTAGACAGTCTAAAGGCAGCCCATTTTAGAATGGGGTGCCTCACAACTATCCTTAATTTTAAAGGGTGCCTCAGGAATGTCCATAATTTTGAAGGGTGCCTTGACTGAAAAAAAGTTGAGAAACACTGATGTAGAGAAAATATACAATCAATACATGACTGAAAATGAAAAGACTTTATCAATGCAGGGGTTGCCCTCAGAAGTTCTTTAACTACTTGCCCTCCAGAGGATTTACCCCCCTCCTGACCAGGCCATTTTTTGTAGTTTTTTTTGCGATACAGCACTGTGCTATTTTTAACTGACAATTGCGCGATCATGCAACATGGTATTGGATAACCTGTGGATTATTTATTTTTTGCACTATAAACAAAAAAAGACCAAACATTTTGAAAAAACAAACAATATTTTTGACTTTTTGCTATAAAACATATCCAGTAAAACAATGTAAAAAATCAAGTTTCGTCATAAATTTAGGCCAAAATGTATTCTGCTACATGTCTTTGCTAAACACAATCCCAATACATGTAAATTAATTGGTTTACGTGAAAGTTATAACGTCAGCAAATGGCGGTGTACAAGTATATACTGGATTTTTTATTATACTAGTAATGGCGGCAATCAGCAACTTTTAGTGGGACATGGGCGGGCATTCTGACACGAGGGGGGGGGACGACTGACTAACTGCCACTGACATCCCAATGAAACTAATACAGTGATCAGTGCTAATAAAAAGCACTTACGCTGTACTAATGAAACTAGACAGGAAGAGGTTAACATCAGGGGTGATCAAAGGGTTAACTGTGTGCTGTTTTACTATGTGTGCTGTGTTTGTTTTACTTGGGAAACATGCTGCTGTGCATTTCTCTACAGTGCAGAGAAATACACAGCAGCATGTTACTGCTGGCAGGAGAGAGACCTGTGTTGTTTTACACACAGGTCTCTCCCCTGTCACTGTTTCACGGCGATCGCCCGGTGCAACCTGTGATCCACATCTGTAGCCGCCAATGCGCGCACCCCCTACCTGGAAATGAAAATGATGTATATATATGTTATTTTGCACAGCCCTGCTGGCCTGTAGCAGTATTTTTGCTATAGGGCGTCAGGGAAGCGGTTAATGTGTGGTTATCTTAGGTGACCTCCCCTATTCTTGCCCCATCCCCAACTGTCCTGTCCAGATTAATGTGTTAAAATCCAACTAGTCCTGTTTACCCCAATGAGATAGTTGATGTGCTGAATGTGATACTATCTTGGCTTTATAGACAGACATCTTCTACTTTATATAATATACCTGTCAATCATTTAGCGATCTACTGCTAAACGTGATTATGTATACTGTTTTGCACTTAGATGCTTAACCCTGTTACCTTTATGCTTTGATGATTGGTAAAGACTGTATTTACTTTTTGTTTTTTCTAACTCTTTTTACAGTTGTATTTAAGATACAAGCATCTGAAATTTTTGTTTGAAATAAAAATTACCTGATTTAAAAAATAAATGCAGTTTGTTTTCAGTCCCAAAGACTGGGTTAAAAATGAGTGTCTAAAGGCAGCAGTGAAGCATGTGGACTTTCCTTGCAAGTATGGAGAAGCTGCCTTTCTGCACATGGAGTTGGGTATTTATTCAAAAATAATGATTTCCTTAATGCTAAACAGTACAGACAGGTACTTATCTATCATGCGCTACCATCAAGGTGGCACTTCCTAAATTCATTCTGCAGTAGGATAACCACTATACAGTAACAACATAAATATATCAAAGTGGGATTTTTGAGGCACAATTACTTTGTTTTGTTTAAAACATATTATTTATTCATGTATACTCATAAAAAGACCATGAGTTTCTCACCTAGTTACAAAGCTCCACAATTGAGACTTCCAACTTCTTCCTATTAATAATGGTCAGCACCCCACTATGAGCCTTAATGGCCTTGGTTAAATAGGTGAATAAACTTCAAGAACCAGTACCCTATGCATAATAAGTAGCCTCGTGATCTGTAAAAAAACAAATCAAAAACAGGCCTATAAAAATAATATCCACTTTCTAGAACCCGCACAAGTTTTATGGACTGCGAGGCTACGTATTACGCATGGGGTACTGCTTCTCTTTCCACCCCTGGTGCCTGCATAGCAAGTCAGATTCTATGGAGGCACCCTTGTTTATGCACTCCCTGGCCAGGCTGTGTGCATTCCGACTCGAAGGAGTTTGACTGACAGCCACAGGAGCCTATGGCTCCCACTGCTCTCAGTGTCTCCTGTAAGACCAGGAAGTGAGAGGAATAGTGCTGCAACCAAGACAGTGCTGAAGCGGTGACAGGAGTCATGTAAGTGTTTTAGTTTGGTAGGATAGGTAGCGGGGAGTTTTTTACCGTAATGCAGAAAAGCATTTACGTACAAAAACCTTTTTGACTTTAGAACTGTTTTAAATACACAGAATAACTGTGGCTAGTTCTCCTAGATGTTCGGAACAACCTACCTTATGAGTTCCTTAAATTATGTGCAAATATATTTTGGAGAATTGATGCTGTTTTAAAGGCAAAGAAGGGACATATCAAATCTTAATGTATTATAGTTTTTGCGTAGACACTTTGTAGTTTGTTATTCGTTGCATAATTTTTGAATGCATTCTCACTTTATAGCATAGCACAAGTGCTAACTTTACTGCATCAATATATACTGTATATTAAACACAAGCATATATGATGATGGATCCAGTTTAATGACTCTGAAGAGCCTTTTCTTCATACACCTTTTCCCCTTTTCCCCTTATTATTTGAGATGTAACACTTTTACTGTGTTCATTTTCTCCTCTACTAATACTGACCATTGTTTTAACTCATTTGTAACTCCCATCTCTGCATGTTTTCCTTTTTATTTATAAGTTTCTTGTATTTCAGTTAACTCATAAGGTAACTGCTGTGGATGTTTTTATTTCATTAGGTACCACACATAAAAGTATCCCCAGAGGAAGTTTTAAGATCTCAATTTCCTAGATTCACAACTCTGAACCTTCATCCCAGCAACACGGACATCAGTGCAGCTATTGCAGCTTTACTAAATTTCTTCAACAGTACCACTGCCTGTCTTATCTGTGCCAAAGCCGAATGTAAGTAGTTGCTACAACAGTTAATATTGTCAATTTAGACATTTTCTCATCCTGAATTAAAGCTAACGTTTACTCTACTTATATTTGCATTCCATGGTTCTTTCCTCCCCACTTATCAACATGCTAATCAAATTCTTAAATGATACCACTCAGTTTTTTCATTACACACATTGTTTTAGACCCAATGATGTAATCCCTGGATCTAAAATAGGCAAATCATGGCTGGTGGGAGCAGGGTTCTGGTCATAGCTTCCTGAAAACATTGCAGCTTCCTGCTTTTTTACTTCTTATAACATCCATCAGCCCTGAAAAAACAGTGGACTGGTTCTTGGGGGGTTATGCAGATATTAAAGTGCCAAAAAATATCTGAAAAAATCCACGCTTTGTGAAAAAAAAGGCTAAAAAGGCTAAACCTTGTGATAATACCTTGTGATAACATTAAATGTGAGAAAAGTGCAGCGCTCAAAATATATATATATATACACACAATGTATTGCCAAAAGTAGTGGGACACTCCTCCAAATCATTGGATTCAGTTCATGGCCACAGGTATATAAAATCAAGAACCTAGGCATGCAGACTGCTTCTCTAAACATTTGTGAAAGAATGGGTCGCTGTCAGGAGGTCAGTGAATTCAAACGTGGTACCGTAATAGGTTGCCACCTGTGCAATAAGTCCATCCATGAAATTTCCTTGCTACTAAATAGTCCATGGTCAACTGTTAGTAGTATTATAAAGGTGAAGTAACTGGGAACATCAGCAACTCAGCCACAAATGGTAGGCCATGTAATATGACAGAGCAGGGTCAGTGCACGCTGAAGCGCACAGCGCACAGTGGGCAGAAGTCACCACCTGTCTGCAGAGTCAATAGCTAAAGAACCTTGAAACTTCATATGGCCTTCAGATTAGCACAAGGACAGTGTGTAGAGAACTTCATGGAATGGGTTTCCATAGCCGCGCAGCTGCATCCAAGCCTTACATCACCAAGTGCAATGCAAAGCGTCGGATGCAGTGGTGTAAAGCACACCACCACTGGACTCTAGAACAGTGGAGACGTGTTCTCTGGAGTGAAGAATCATGCTTCTGTCTAGCAATGCAATGGACTTGTCTGGGTTTGACGGTTGCCAGCAGAACGTGCCTCACGCACACCTTACCCGCGCCGCCAATCGTGGCCACGGCTGTCAAACACCAGGTCCCAGCTGGTGATTACTCGCCGGCACCCAGTGATTGCCAAGGATCTCCAACGGGGAGGAGAACTGTTTGTGAACAAAACAGTTCTCCCTGTCAGCTCGTGCACACTGCTTTGCACAGCACAGCCATACAAAGCAGTGTGCTTACAGTGAAGCACAAACACATTGGCCTAAATTTATGATGACATTTGATTTTTTATATTTTTTACTGGACATGTTTAACCTCCCTGGCAGTAATCCCGAGTGTGGCTCGGGGTTAATTTTCAGTACCAAAAGTGGTAACCCCCAAGCCACACTCGGGATTACACTGTAGTGTTTGTCTTGCGATCCCCCCAATCATTACCTTGTCCTGCAATCCCCCGATGTCCTCCGGCTGTGTCCTCCAGCCATGTCGTCCGGCCGATGCATCTGTCTTCAGTGCGAGTGCCGGGACGCAGGGGGGCAGAACCAGTGGGAAATTCAAAAAAGTTATAATATGACATACACACAATACATTGTAATCTATTAGGATTACATTACTATATCAAACCATTTCACCTCAGTTTTGTCCCTAGTGCTTTGTCCAGTGCACTGCCTGCAGTTTTACCGTTCTTTCTGCCTGGAAACTTGAGAACGACTAGCTAGAAGATAGTGACAGTGAATTAGAATCACTTGTAGAATTGAGCGATAGGGATTCATGGGGAAATTTGTCATCAGACACTGAAGTGACTACAGCAACGATTCTGCTACTGAGCTAGGTGATGTGTGAACTTGGTGCTCTATTAACTGTGGTACGGATCAGGCAGCGCCCCCAAGATTCCTATTTACTGGAGCATCTGGTATGAAAGTAGACGTTGAACACAACGACCCCTTGGCATACTTATAATTATTTCTGACCGATGAGGTTATTGAAAAAATAGTTACTAAGACAAACCGGTACCAAGAGAAACAATTGACTATTCTGCATCTGAAGTTTCCAAGAAGCAGAAAGTGGGAACCAAAGATGACATTTGGAAATTTCTGGGCCTAATAATACTTCAGGGAGTGGTGGGGAAACCCCTGCAAAAGTGGTATTGGACAACTAATAAATTACTTGCCACTTGATCCAGGGACTATTCGATTGCCTCTCGGGGGATCAAGAAGGAAATTTTTCCCCTGCAGGAGCAAATTGGATCATACTTTGCTGGGTTTTTTTTGCCTTCCTTTGGATCAACTGTGGGTATAGGATTATAACTTTTTTTTTTTTTAATGGTTGAACGGGATGGACTTTTGTCTTTTTTCAGCCAGACTAACTATGTAACTATGTAACTCCACTCTTTGGCATGGTCCTGTCACAGTACAGAGAGTACAGATTTTCCCTAATCATGAAATTTTTACACTTCGAAAACAATGAAGAATTTAATGAAACTATTCATCCTGCACCAAAACTAAAGAAAATTTGGGAAGTATCTCAAATAATTCTAAACAATTTCCAACGGAGCTATGTATTAGAAAGAGATATCAGCATAGATCATATTCTAATACCCACAAGGGAAGGCTCAGCTGGGTACAATACATTGCATCAAAGAGACCATGATTTGGCGTAAAATCCTACATGCTATGTGAATCGTCAACTGGCTACATTTGGAATTCAGTCATATACACTGGAAATCCAAAATACAGCAACTACTGAATGGCAACATTCAGAACAAGAACAACATTCTT